ACAGATATATATATACACATATTGATGTTTATTTATATATATATATAAAGAACAGATATATATATACACATATTGATGTTTATTTATATAGATATATAAAAAGAACAGATACATATACACATAATGATGTTTATTTATATAGATATATAAAAGAACAGATATATATATACATATTGATGTTTATTTATATAGATATATAAAAAGAACAGATATATATATATATATATATACATAATGATGTTTATTTATATAAATATATAAAAGAACAGATATATATATATACATATTGATGTTTATTTATATAGATATATAAAAGAACATATATATATATATATACACATATTGATTGTTTTATTTATATAGATATAATAAAAAGACATATATATATATATATACACATAATGATGTTTATTTATATAGATATATAAAAAGAACAGATATATATATATATATATACATATTGATGTTTATTTATATAGATATATAGATACACCAAGCCCTTAAGTACAATACGAAAATATTTTCATTATGATTACCAAAAAGGTAAAAATAAGTCTTTGTGACGTGACAAAACATATATTATTTTAGGGTAGAAGTTTCTTTTTACTCAATTTGCTACAATCCTCTCGTATCTTTTCCTGGTAAAGACGCAAAGCGAAGCTGACGTTATTATTTGTCTTATCGTTAGGAAATAGTGTGAAGTTGATGAAGCAATACATAAGTTTTAAAACTCTAACTGTTTTTATAGAAGAATATAAATTTTTTTATGCACCATACACAACAATGTTCTTTTAGGTTTAATTTAGGGAGGGCAAACTCTTAAGGAGACCCAAGAACCTTGGAAGGAAGCTTTGTTGGTTTTCTAAAGTGAAAATACAACTAATATACGACCTGGCATTGTATTGTACTGTGGTTTTACAGCATACATAGTAAAAGCGCAAAACTGCTATCTTATTGTCAGGTTGTAATCTTCTTGGGAGGGGGGAAGCAAAATTACAGCTTCTATCCCACCCTCAATTGGTGTCCCTGACTATACATGTTAACATGATTTTGATTGGTTTATTATAATCTCAGTTTTAAGTGCCAATAAAAGCATTAAAGCAAAAACCTGAGTAAATTATACAATTATTATGAACAAAAATGTGCTGCCAAATCTTACTAATAAATCAAGTGTTAGTCCGAAAGAGATTCAACTTTCTAGTTTTGTTTGCAGGGACGGAATCTTTCGACTTTCATGGTTTTCTGGATCATCAGCGCCATCTTGTAGATAATCAGACTCACACAGGCCCCGAGAGTCTTTTAGAAGGCCCTTCAGTATCAGAAGTTCCTGAATTCACATTGGTACGAAGGAACTCTGACGACAATTCAGGTGAGCTTGTCTTGACAGAAGCTGACAGGCTATGAGAAACAGTTAAGGGTTATTTTAATCACAGGTGATAAAAAAATTGAATGTTTGATTTAGCCCAAAGCTGCACAATGTCTTATCAACGTTGTGTCCGCCGCAGGTATCAATCCCTGAATTTTAGCGTTATAGACCCTTATGCCTCCTCTGAGCCACCAGGAGACAAAATGAAAACAAAAACAGATAGTGTAATGAGATGCTCCTGGGATTCTGTATTGCATCATTTGAACTGATGAAAAGCTCTTTTGTTTACCTCACTTTTACTATTAATATTACATGGGAAACTGCATATAAGGCCTGTATAAATGACTATATCTGTTCCATCTGCAGCCAATGCTTTCTTAATTGCAGGTTTAGATAGAAAACGAGGTTTGTTCATTTAGCTGTTTCTTGTATTAGCGTATAAAATAACTCACTACAACAGTTTGAAGAAAGTTAGTACTCTTGCTATTTACTAACTTAAGACAGTATGAAAAAAGTTGTCCATTTGAAGTCAGCAACTGAATTAACTGGCAGAGTAAGTATTATTTGAAGGAAGCAGAGATACTCGGATAACAAATCGTGAAATACTTATGAAACTCATAGAATAACTAAGAGGGCTAAGTATGTTTGTTTGTTTTGAATTTCGCGCAAAGCTATACGAGGGCTATCTACGCTAGCTGTCCCTAATTTAGCAGTGAATAGGCTGCTAATCAACGCCACCCCTCATGGGCTATTGTTTTACCAACGAATAGTGGGATTGACCGTCACTTTATAAGGCCCCCCACGGCTGAAAGAACGAGCATGTTTGGTGGAAAGAGGATTCGAACCCGCGAACCTTAGATTGGGAGTCGAGCGCTCTAATCACCTCGCCATACCAAGCCCAGGTAGGCTAACTCTTGTTTGTTTAAGATATTCGCGCAAAGCTACATAAGGGCTATAAACACTATAGCCATATCTAATTTGGGGCCGACAGACTAGAGGGAAGGCAGTTAACTAATAGCACCCCCCCCCCGCAAACTCTTGAGCTGCTATTATCGAATAGTTTTATTTGACGCATTATAACGCATCTATGGTCCCAAAGAGGGGAGCGCAATTTTGCAAATACGGGACACGAACCATAGACCGAGAAGTTGAAGTCAAATAGCAAGAATGTCTCCGGAACTGTTCATTAATAATGTTCAGGACCATTACGACACTGTGTTGTGTCTTAATTATAAATAAACTCTAATGTCTAGAATTTTGTCCAAGCTTTATGTACATGAAAAATTGTTTACTAGACAGGCACTCTTTACAAAGTTATCGTAAACTTTCTAGTATTTCTGTTTACAAAAAAGACGCTTATCTAATCTGTAAGTACAATTTATATTATAAGGACAATTTTTATTATTTTAGTTACAGAAAATTTTTAGTAACATGTAATATTTTGTCCCTGTTGTGTTATACAGTGACCATAACACCACCATTACAAAACGCTGATCAGATGGCGAACGGATACTCTTGGAATCCTGGAAACTGTTACGAAAGGTAAGACGTGAAGACGAAGTTGGCCTGTCCTTTCCAAGACTAAACCGATTCAATGGATTATTATTATGTTGTTTGCAAATGAAACTTTCATTCCTTCTTGGAATTTTCGGGAAGACTCATAATTTCTCAATATGTATAAAATACAAGAGAAATGATTTATCGAAACAATGTGAGAAGTAAATGCTATATTAAAAGTAACAAAAAACAAAGTGGTAATAGAATCATGCCCTAACATGTGCAACAATCCTGTAACAGATTGTATTTTTGTTTTTTGAAATGTAGCCTTTGAAAATTTTTGTGTGCTACAGTAGAAACAATAGTTATTTAAATATTTATGTACTACTGTAGAAAGTATAGAAAGAACAATTTAAATGTTTATTTACTACATTAGAAAGGACGTTTATTTATATGTTTATGTACTACAGTAGAAAGGACGGCTAATTAAATGTTTTTGTACTACAGTAGAAAGGACGGTTATTTAAATGTTTATGTACTACAGTAGAAAGGACGGCTAATTAAATGTTTATGTACTACAGTAGAAAGGACGGCTAATTAAATGTTTATGTACTACAGCAGAAACGACGGTTATTTAAATGTTTATATACTACAGTAGAAAGGACGGCTAATTAAATGTTTATGTACTACAGTGGAAAGGACGGCTAATTAAATGTTTATGTACTACAGTAGAAAGGACGGCTAATTAAATGTTTATGTACTACAGTAGAAAGGACGGCTAATTAAATGTTTATGTACTACAGTAGAAAGGACGGCTAATTAAATGTTTATGTACTACAGTAGAAAGGACGGCTAAACTTTCATGTTTTTGCCTTTGATGAAGAAGAGGTATACGAGCTGAATGGTAGTAGGTAGTATATATATATATATATATATATATATATATATCATTTCTAACTTTCCAAGTTTTGTGATTGAGATTAGACAACAAAGTACAGAAACTGAAAAATTGCACCTGCCGTATGTTACTCTCTGCGCAAACATTCCGACAGTATCTGGAAATCGTTTAGAAACTTCATTATCTTTTTCTTAAACTTAAACAAGATTTTAATGTAACATTATTACTGTTGATGTATTTTACTACTCCAATTTATTCAGGAGGGTAACTTTTGGTAATGAGAACGTGTGTTTTGTGGTACACGATGGAGGTGTGGGTGTTGAACTCTGTGTATCGTGAAGAGTATAATATTGTCCATATATCCTTGTGATCATTTCCATCTTCCTCTTCAGTAATTCGAGTCAAACAGAAAGCTATGACTACCGGCGAAGCTGGACACATACTACAGTGGTAGCAAGAGGCGATGTCAGACTTTATCAACAGTCACCTTCAAATCAGGTGTGGTGGTTGTGTTTAGTAACGTTAGTATGTTTTGGTATCAAGAACAAAAAGTTGAACAATTAAAGTGTAGTGGAAGGTGTTATTATTTATTAAGTCAAAGCATAGCACTAAAATCAATAAGGCGGAGATATTGGTTCGCGAAATATTAGGTTGGCATAAGATTGTCCCTAATTTTCATGATTTTTACTGTTCAGTAGGTTCGCGAAATGTTAGGTTGGAATAATACTGTCCCTAGTGTTCACGCTTTTACTGTTCAGTAGGTTCGCGAAATGTTAGATTGGAATAAGACTGTCCTTAGTTTTCACTGTTTTACTGTTCGGTTGGTTCGCGAATTATTGCGTTGTAATAAGACTGTTCCTAGTGTTCATTGTTTTACTGTTTGGTAGGTTCGCGAAATATTAGGTTGGAATAACACTGTCCCTAATTTTCATGATTTTTACTGTTCAGTAGGTTCGCAAATATTAGGTTGGAAAAAAGACTGTCCCCAGTGTTCGCAGTTTTACTGTTCAGTAGGTTCGTGAAATATTAGGTTGGAATAATACTCTCCTTAATTTTCATGATTTTACTGTTCAGTAGGTTCGCAAATATTAGGTTGGAAAAATACTGTCTCTAATTTTCATGATTTTTACTGTTCAGTAGGTTCGCAAATATTAGGTTGGAAAAATACTGTCTTTAGTGTTCGCAGTTTTACTGTTTAGTAGGTTCGTGAAATATTAGGTTGGAAAAAACTGTCCCTAATGTTCACGGTTTTACTGTGCAGTAGGTTTGCGAAATATTAGGTTGGAATAAGACTGTCCCTAAGTTTTCACGGTTTTACTGTTCAGTAGGTTTGCGAAATATTAGGTTGGAATAAGACTGTCCCTAGTTTTCACTGTTTTACTGTGCACTATATTTACTACGCTAGAAACTAAAATTAGAGAGCAACGATGTTCCAACCTTAATTCTTTCTGGTCTATATAGATCACAAAATCAACTTTAACAAATTAATAACATATTTATGTGTGCAAATCTTGGAAGATCATTATGAAAACATATTTTTCCATAATTTTAGAAACTGCAACATTTCCGATAGTTTGGCTTTGATAATTTCCGTTATTTAATTAATTAATTTCATACACACTAGAACTGCAGTATTGACGTACTCAGATCTCTAACACAATTGTTAAGGTAATGAACAAATGGAGTGAGAGGACTTAAGAATTCTGAAAATTAGTCACTGTCGTGTAACGAAGAAGCAATTCCAGCTTTATGTTTATGTTTATTTGTTTTTGAAAGTTAGTTATAGTTTGTTATTTATAAAGTTTGTATTAGATGACCAAGTTCGTCGACTTCAAGATCCAATGAACCAGCAATATGCTAGAAATACGTGTCAGATGAACTTACAAGAACCTGGGTGAGTTTTCTCGAAATTCTATATCGCAAATAAACAAAGATCTAGTTTTAGGCGACGGAAACACATTTTAATTTGTGGGGCATAGACGATTGTGGACACCTTATTCGCTGTAGTCATTGAATTCAAAGCTGAAACAGCGACTGTCCGTTATAGATATACACTGGTCTCTATTCCCTATTTAAAGGGGCACTTTCGTATCGGGTCAGAAATGGAGGGGTCCATTTCTGCCGCCTATATTTAAAATGTAGTCAGTATGGTTATTTTTTCCAATAAAGAATAAAGTATCTATCTTTTAATTTAAAAACATGTTGTTGTTTTATATAAAACCAAAATCACCATTTTAGTGAATTTGTTGTCTTTTTTGACTTATAAAAACGAAAGTTTTTGTTTTGCTTTTTCGTTGCTTCACATCTTTTTCGTTTGTAGATGTGGCTATTTTGGACAATACGCTTCGGGAAGACAACTGAATGATCGTGTGTGCTATCCAAACCATCACTACCCCACTATAGTTTACTCTACTAACAGCGCCACCTACCAGAACGACATCACTGAATGTACTCGTAATCTACCAGACGAAGACACCTCAGGCCTAAGGGAGGAACAACACGCAGTAGATGTAGTGTGTGTGGACATCCAGTACGACGACGTTCACTTAAAAAATGTGAACAATTCGGTTAAACTTTAAATTAAATTGGGAAAAATACTCTTACGTATTTATATTTCATTAACTTTGTAAGTTAACTGTTTTCTTTTTCCTTCGATCTTAAACCCATCTAAATTTGGGGTCGTCCGCTCTAGTATTTCGTATTACCCAAGAATTTTTAGACTTGGGTGGCTGGTCCTGACAGCAAATCTAAAGGGCGAGTATGTTCGGTGACGGGGATTCGAGCCCGCGATCCGCAGATTGCGAGTCTAGATCCCTAACTACCAAGCCATGCCAAGCCCAAACTTGAAACTTAACTGTAAAGAAATTAAAACATTTATTATCTGATTTAAATTATACTAGATAAAATGTTCAGATTGCATTCACGGTTCTACATATTCAAATGCTCAAATTTGAATTCAAGCTAAAAAAATCATAATGAAAATGTATTTGTGATTTAAAATACCGATGGATGTTATAAGCTGCTGGATAATCGAACATTAACTGCACGAGTGTAAGTGTAAGAATTTCAAACCTTTGTTTTTGCTGTCGTCAAATAATTGTATATTGTTTCTAGCCCAGGTTTCGTAGACAAAGAATCAGAAAATTCAACAGATGTTTAGATTTTATACTCTAATTTCCTGTTCGTTTGTTTTTCTCTCTAACGTTGCACTCATTTTTATCTTCAAGGGGATATTTTCTCTAGGCTTTTGTCATACTTTTTATGTTTCCTCAAAGTGTTTTAACGTATTTTGTAAAATTATAATTTTTTTCAATTTATCCCAGTATTTATGTTTATCGGGAACACAAATATCCGCCAGGTAGTTAAGAAATACCCGTAAGAATGTACTGCAAAGGATAATGTCAAACACGGACAGTAAAGTATAAACAAACACAAACGAACAGACAAACAAAATCTTTATTTACTAAAGTGTATGTGTTTATTTTCAACTGACCAGCTTCTTACTTTCCGTTGGGCCCGGCATGGCCCGGTGGTTAGGGCAATCTGCGGGTCGCGAGTTCGAATCCCCGTCACACCAAACATGCTCGCCCTTTCAGCCGTGGTGGCGTTATAATTTGCGGTCAACCCCACTATTCGTTGGTAAAAGAGTGGCCCAAGAGTTGGCAGTGGGTGGTGATGAATAGTTGCCTTCCCTCTAGTCTTACACTGCTAAATTAGGGACGGCTAGCGCAGATAGCCCCCGTGTTGCTTTGAGCGAAATTCAAAAAACAAAAACAAACTTTCCGTTGACATTAACTGGCTACTGGAGTTAAGAGATTTTCTCAAACATCCGCACAGGACAAGAACAGGGCGAATTAAATGGGGGTTTCTCTATTTTGTTACTTGGAATAGTCGGTAACGTTCATGCACAGTACCCTTTGTCTGTTATAAAAGCGCTAAGTCATACCAATTAGTACAAGTACCTGTGTCACCCCTTGAGAAGGATCGCTCCTACTACCAAGGTGTAGACACAGACATATGGCCAAAATGGTACATTCTTTTAGCTGTTGCCTTATGTAACCTTTACCTAGGCATAAAGATTAACACCTGCTTACGACTTTTGGAATCTAATGAACAATAAATACGTAACAAATACATGGAGGACATCTACACTAAAATATAGAAAGATTACCTGAATATACATGACAAAAGACATATTCTATTCTAAATCTGAAAGTGGGAAATCAGTAATTTTATCAATTACGACACATTTAGAGTATGCAGGTATTTTGAAAGTGGTTTTTTTCTCTCTCTCTCTAAATCTGCAATATAGGGTTTTCTTTCATTTTATTGTTTATTGGTTTGAGTTTGTATTTTAAGAAAATGTATTTTTTGATACTAATAACATATGTGGCAGTATTTTTTGTTCTTTAATCTGTTTTCTCGTGATTTTTTTTTAGATTTGTGGTACTTGGAGAAGTACCATATTTTCTTTCTTTCTTAGTTTAAAAAGATAAACTATTTAGTTTACACACAACTTTTCAGATATACGAGCTCTTAGGGTACTTACAGATTTTCACAACAGGAAGTGTGGTTTGTGCATATGACTTTATTCCATGTGCTAATTACACACGTCAAGGCGCGCATTCTACTAAGGTATTATTAGGCGTTTTTCATGGACGATGTTGGTAGAGATGTATTTTCAGATCTTGTATCCGCTTCCTTTGTTGACATTACCATGTTTAAGTTTAGGACAACCAGCGACGTGAGTAGCATTTGCGTTTTCAGAGAGATTTGTTTGTTATTCATATTAATGTAATATCATACTCTCTCATTTCTAGAACAGATATCTCGAGAATAGATAGAGAATTCCAAAGTGTCTGTCACTGTCATCAAGAAGCTCAGTATGACGTTCTCTACACGCATTCGACTTATTGTTTGTGTTAAACAAAGATTAATTTTACTTGGTTTAATATTGTATTCAATATCTTTTCTTCCACTCGGTCAAGTCAAATGAGCAGTTTTTACATTGTGAAACGTATCCTCGCCGCTCCACCTGTTATTGGCGGTTACTATCCAAAATGTAAGTCAATGAACCTGAGAATATCACTGATTATCTATTCTGAAATACCTTGAGACCGAATGTTAATTTGTCCTCTTTCATGGCATGAGGGTCTATAATATCAATTTTATTTATATATCTGAAGGATAAACACTATGTTTTTAATTGTGTTGTGTTTTTGTATTAATTAAATGTATAAGAAGACAACTTTCTAATCATCATCTATTTAAATGTGTTTTAACTCTCTGCCATATTATGTTTATTTGCTTGATTACGTTTTTATATCAGTTTCTAGTGAAATAAGTTGACTGTGCTATTCATGTTGATCAGACTTACATTTTCTCGCTTTTTTTCTTTTGCTATAATTGTTTTTCTTTTTAAATTTGTAATAAGTATTTATAAGAACAGTCGGTAGATGGCAGGTTTATATAAAACGTGACAAAATTGATTTGTGTCGCAGCGACAGCTTCTTTCATTAGAGCTGTTAAAAAATTAAAAGTATTGCAATATATTTGACAAATAATTGTAAGTTAGGATGAAAAAGTTTTGTAAAGTTATTGTTTATTTAATAAAAGTTTTATTTTTTATTGTCAGTTAAATAAATATTACTTGTAAAAAGCAAAATAATAGATATTTTTGTGTGTAAAGTGCTGAAAGATTAAAACCAATATTGTTGTTCCATTTTAATGAATCAAAATTTTTGTTTAAACTTAAGTTATTATCTATTTATGATTACGCTAACTGTAAACTCAATTCAAAGTCGTCAGACGTGAGACTTATTGATTTTCTAGCGTTTTGGGGCGAAACTGGTATAATCTGTAACGCACCAAATATAATCCATCCTGGTATTATGGTACGTAAAACTAATTACCGTTACTAACACCACAGATTTTCATAATTGTAGTTCCAAAGACATGGATTCAAATTATGATAAATGGTCTTGATTAGACATAAAGAGACTACAATAGTGTGAATAAATGTGTACATTTTAATATTTTCTGATCATTTTATTTGTATAAATTTTGTATCATATCAGATGGCCCTCATCTTTCCTATATTCTATACAAGTATTGTATGTATGACAACACGAGCTATTTTGGCAATGTAGTTTATTCCTGAGTCGACTTTTTTTTCTGAGTTATTTATATTGTTTTATGTCTAAACCAACTGGTTAAAATTATCTTAAATAAAACTGTCTTTTACTTTAGAAATGAGAATCTTGTTTTATTTTTCCTGAAGGTTATCTTTCACACACAAACTAGCTTCATTAACAAACTGACTGAGCACTAAGAACCCTGTCTATTTGTTTTGATGGCCCAGCATGGCCAGGTGGTTAGGGCGTTTGACTCGCAATCTGAGGGTCGCGGGTTCGAATCCCCAGCCCACCAAACATGCTCTTCCTTTCAGCAGTGGCGGCGTTATAATGTGACGGTCAATTGTTTTGCCCCCCAGCAATACGGCGGTATATCTGCGGACTTACAACGCTGGAAACCGGGTTTTGATACCCGTGGTGGGCATAGCACAGGTATCCCATCCTGTCATTTCGTACTTAACTTCAAACAAACAAACTATTTGTTGTAAAGCATAAGGCTACACGGTGGGTTATCTGTGTTTTAGCCACCGCGAGTATCGAAACCCGAATTCATGTTTTTGGATTAAGAGAACTTTTTTCTCACAGAAAAGGTTGTTTGAGAAACTGAAGAACTATTCGGGGATATTTTAAGATTAAAGAGACTCATTTTTTAATTTGACTTTTACAAACAAACAAACAAAAAAGTTTATCATTTCACATAATGCGCATGTCAGATACACTTGCGAGTTTTAAAATAATTATTAGTTTAAATTAAAACGATAACATTCTTAAACTCACGATTGCCTAAATTCTATTTGTACGAATGGTTTTTTCTTACAAACTCCTAAGAATCCGGTCTATTATAAGGGTTTCCAACCAATTACTCAGACTTTATGGAACAAATATGCTTTAATCAATGTAAAAAAATGCATATAGTCGTATTTCCTTTAGGTCTGTACATGACAAGATACAAAACAAAAATGGTTTATCTGACTACCAAGAATTTCTTATTAAACGGTTTATTATAGTCATAAGCCTGGCTAACCAGGAATTTTATAAAATGGTTTATTGTTCGTATAAACCTGACTAACCAAGATTTTTATGAAACTGTTTATTGATGAAACTTAGTAGAATGAACGGCAACTGCCTGTTGTAGAGACACAAGTGTAGAGGACGACGTTTCGAAAGTCTTTCGTCTTCAGATCAGTGTGTGTATCCTGGTAGTTGTTTTGATGTGGAATTAATTACTTCTGTAGAAATAATTAATCATCGTGTGTCTATGTCTATGGCAGTTGTTTTGGTGTAAAGTTAATGATTTAGAGAAAACTATTATTCACCAAGGGTGTTCGAAGATTAGCAATCCTCCTTCACCATGCTCGAGATTAAAGGAGTTTGTAAAGTAATCATCGTTCTAATGGGCCAAGTGGGCGACAAAATGCACTGGTGATAATATTAAGGCAAGTGGA